TCAGAGGCTTAAGTCAACATCATTGGACATTAAGCTGACATGGACGTTTACGAAATATTTTCCCATTATGTTAATATTATTAATTGCTCACGTTTTTATATACGTAAATCAATATAATTATATTTAAACTGTTAATTTACCATCACTGCTTATCGCTTAAAAACTACATTTTTGGCGCGTTCGATCTGTCAAAATTGGCGCCATTACAAATATGGCTGCCGTGACGACATTGACATAAAATGTTAAAATTACATAATTATAGTGCACGGAATACAATCTAAGCCATGTCGGCGACTATTGAATGTATAATTCTTATTACAACGCCATAAGATATATATTTTTGAACTCATTACTTTCAAAACGGCAAATTATTGAAGTATTTTTGACAGGATTGATATACTTTCCTCAAGATTGAGTTCGGTAAACAAGGTATATGATTATGTTGTTGCTACTAGTTTGATGATAAAACCGATGTATTACATGTGCCCATGAATAAATTATAACTATTAAAGGAGGGCTACTTCATACGATGTCAGACGCCATATTGAAAACGTATTGTTTTTTATTGTCACTTTTATGAACTAGACTAGACATCTTTATAATTCGAATAACAGTCAGAATTATTTAAGTGTTCGCTATAAGAATTATATGTCTTAACGTGAGTCCCAAAATTACACGGAGCTATTTTTACATTCGTAGATTCACCAGTAGGGGTAATATCGTTTTAATATGCAATATTTTCGTTTTACGCCTCAATGTCGGGGAACCCATAACTTCTAAACGTTTTCATTCTACGTTTTATGGAGTCTGCCGACATTGGTAACCCGTCCATCAGTTGGTAGAGACACCAGCACTTCAAGCTGCACCAAATTACTAAGAGAAATTCAACTTTAATGCTTTTATAATATAATCGAATTTTGACAGATGGTACTATCTGTACTTTCAAGGTTTAGTTGGACAGCTTTTGAGACGAGAAGCGCCACGGTAAATTATTTTAAAATCGCTCATTATTCCATACTTGTCCTATCTTCAATCTTAAAATTATTTTAATAATATCAGACAAACGGGTGTCGAATTAATCACACGGTTTTAATGTTTCTCATCATGAATGGGCTGTGAACATGCCATTTTACCTCGTTATTGAGTTTAGCTAAATTGAATCTTCTGAACTAGGAAATAAAGGTAAAGGCAATAGTTATATAATAGCAATAAAAATTGGTAAGGGTAATTCTACCCAATTTTTGAAGATTGTGGTAAAATAGCTTCTGTCTTATACTTCGCCCGGGTCCTCGTGGGATAAAAGTAGTCAGAGTCTATGTGTTATTCAAAACCATAGTATATCCCTGTTCCAGATTTCTTCTTGACGAGAAAGAGACCAAACAAACACACACACATACAGCCTCACAAACTTTCGCATTTATAATATTAGTAGGAAGTAGGATACAGCACATTACAGAAGTCTATATAGAATCTTATAATCTATGGTACCTATGTCCATAGATTACAAGATTCTATATGCAACTTTAAGTAGATTGATTGGATAAGTAGGTAAAGCGTTATGATCTCACAAACAAACAAACGAACCCACTGTCTCATTCATAATATTGGGTAGAAATGTAATAAAGCCAATAGAAGAGCAATGAACCGATATTGATAGCTTTACTCAAGTATCTATCAAGTACAAGATACCGCCGCCGCTATCTCTCGAAGAGTTGATTGCAGTGGTCTATGCGGGAGGTCTATCTCCTCAGATAAGATCGCCCTCCCAGAGTTCCAATACTCCATAAACGTTATGCAAGCCCAATCAATACTTTATTTAACCATTAAATCATTTTGTAGACCTTTACTCTCAATATGCTTTTAATTAAACTACAAAACTCAATTTACGAGTATTAAAATTCTTATTGCCACCATAAAGCCAAAGTTCGCAGTGCACTTTTAAGAAAAAGTAATGATTTATGTGCCTATAAATTAAGTAGGCTTTGAATTAAGAAATATTTCGATAATTTCTTTAGATAGGTACTGTAACTTACTGCGTGTGAGGTCAACAAATTACCCGTAAGTATCATTCATCTCGCAATGGAAATTAAGTCTACTATTAACGAAGTATAGTTCAATTTGCTATGTAGATTTTGTGTTTGTGTGATGTTATAATTCTTGAATAAAATTATATACATGAAGCTGCATAAAGTTTCGTAGTTCGTTACGTCAGTTCGCAGTTCATTGGACAAATAGACAAATATTTATTGACAATGGTTTGATTGCTTATTTTTTGTAACTATTAATTTGAGTAATCGGCAATTATACTGATCACTCATTAAGGTTTAAATATCATAATCATTGCTTAATATAATTTGTAGATGGAACTTAGGTAAGCATATTTTTAAAAATAGGGGTAAAAGAATACATATCACCTGGTGGTAAGTGGTCAAAGCCGCCCGTGGACAGCCCTTCGCTTTTTGAATATTAAGAATTTGTGGATTTGTAATTGGGAATGAGGAGGAAGATTGGATTTCTGGTAACCTCACTCGCATAGCGAAACATAACACAAGTTGTTTTACATTAGTTTTGCGAACTTAATAGTCAACATTCATTTTTATAACGATACTATTCAATAAAATGACCCCTAAGCCCTACAAAATATTGCATAAACAACAAACTATTTAACTATGTACATTGTATATGTCTTTAATACTTGAATAGTGCAATCAGGCGAAGGTCAGCGACCTACGGAGCTATTGTTGTAATGGTTCCTTATAGAGGTCTGCAGTTATCAGTTACATCTAATTCTGTTTTGCAAACTATGACTTTACAAATATGGTGGGCAAGACTCGAAAAGTTTTACCCAACCCGGGCAGGGTTGGGTAAAATGTGGTTACAAAATATGCTTTGATAGAGCTTAAAGATATTTTAAATCTTATACTTATATTTATTAAACTGAAGAGTTTGAAGGACCACGCTAATCTCCAGAACTACTAGACCAAATCAAATATTTTGTTTTGCGTGCAATAGTGCATTTATCCATTTCATTTATCGGCCATGAAACCGCGCGAGAATATATTATAATAGTAGATATAATGTGATATAGGCACAAACATTATGTCATTTTTCAAACTAAGTATTACACAATAAATATTTTCAAACTCAAAAGCATTTATAACAATTAAACAATAATTTGGTACTTTTGAAACGTGAACAAATATGAAATAAATAATAGTCTGTCAGTCTGTCCGTCAGTGAAGCTAGGCGCTTGTTCCAAAATGTCGATTCGACTGGAGAAGAACGAACAACAAACTCCATTTGTTACTCTTTTAAAAAAAAGTCTGTTTTACACTGCTCTGATACATATTCCAATATTATTATATGACAATGTGAAATGTAGTACAAAAATAAAAGACATACCTATCTATCTGACATCTTACAAACAATAGGACGCAATGAATGTTTCTACCACAACACACAAATGCAAACACTATATAAATTATAGCCTAGAACTACAGTAAAGTCTGTCTAGAAAGTTCTATCTCTACGAGTCGGAAATTGGTCCGTATTGCCTTATTTCCTATGTTGGCTCTAGTTAAACGATGAAAATGGACATTCCTATGGAAATATGAACATACACATGGCAACACATCCAGCTAAACAAACCAGGTTATCATGACCTTGCTTTGTATGATTTTTCTGCATATTCGACGGTCAGTTTATACTGGAGCTGTACAGCGTAACGTGTGTCCTAAAAGCTTTGT